TTTGACTTTCACACAATTTTGTTTGTTCATTTATGTTGCTCTGTTTTGTTTTTATGGTGCTGGGGACCAAATTTAGGGCTGTTAAGTCTCCTAGGCAAGCTCTCTGCCATTGAGATACACTCCCAGACTTTTAGGTAATTCCTAAGCATCACAATTTTTTTTTTTTTTTTCTCCGAATGCCCTCAGGGGTGGTTTGGCTGGCTGGAGTGTTGTGGGAATCGAACTACAGCAACCTGAGGCTGACAGCTTTGTGGAAGCAGCCAGCATCACAATTTTTTAAAATTTCTCCATCCAGTTTAAAAAATCCAAATCTATTCTTAGCTCACGAGCCATACAAAACAGGCAAGATTTGGCCAAGAGACATAGTTCACCAACTTTACCTTTGAGCATTCAGTACTTCTTTATATCCAGCACCCACCTCTTCAGGAGAGACTTCCATCCTCTTCTCTGACAGGGATGAGGCCTTCTGGGTTCCTCACCCTTTGACCACAGCAAGACCAGGCACCAGGCATCAGCTGGGCTCTAAAGTTTGGAGGTTCAGAAGGCTGCATCCTACCTGGGGCCTCAGAGACTAGATCACTGGCCAAAGCCACAAACCAGCACCTTAGATGGGGCTTTAGAAATCCATTGGTCTGTGCTCTTGTTTTTCAGGCCAAGAAGGCAAGACTTAGAAAGGGCAGTGATCTGCCCAAGGCTACTCAGAGGGACAAAGTAAAATTTAGATCAGAGCCGTGGGTCTGTGATTTGGAGTTCACATGTTCTACTCACTCTTCCATGGTTACTGGGCCCCAGGACAAAGGAAGACGGCAGCCCACTCGGGTCTGCCATCAGCACAGATTGTGGGCCCCAGCACATTGCCAGCAGGGTCCAGGTAGGATCAGGGAGGGGCTCTAGGACCCTTTCCCTGTGCCACTTTGGTTACGAGGGGCACCCTCTGGCACAGCACCCACCACACACTGATTTCCAGGCAGTAGAGCCCACTAGGATAAGGGGCAGTGGGGGAGCCGTGTCCCCCAGCTTGATCATACCATAAGGGTCTTCTTTGCTGGGTGATGGGGGGCCTGAGAAGAAGGCTTGGTTCCTGAGGGGAGCCCCCAGGCAGAAGGGGCAGGCTCTTTTAGGGAAGCAAGGTTTGTGGGCAAAAATCGTTATACTGCTTTGACAAAATTTCCTGCGACAATGGTAAAGATGGAAAGGGTGCTCAAAGGAAGAAACATTTGAAGAAGATTTCCTTCCTACTAGGGGCCTGATTGACCCAACTTTAAAGAAAATATCAAGTAGAAGCAAGCAGTACCAAAACTGCCAAGGAGACCTCACCAATTCTGTGTCACTACCTCTCAATCATGATACCAGGAGAGGCAAAAGGCTAACAGCACAGGGGATATGATCTCACCCAAGTTCAGACGTTAACAGGAGGTAATACTACCACCTCTCCTTCTAAAACAGAGTGAACTGAACCTTGGGTGAGCAAACGACTGACCCTAATGCAAGCAGTCACTGAGCGGCAGAGGCAGGATTTCAGCTCACCCCAAAGTCCTTACACTGCCCCCACCACGCTGGACAGACAGGAACAGGCAGCATATAAATAACAGCTGAACACACCAGGCAGCCACAGCAGGCTCATCTGGGTCAGGGGGATGCCGGTGGGAAACATTTACACAGTTCCAGGGAAGGGTTCTTACCACTGTCCCTTCTAATGTTTTATCCAATGTTTCTCAGAGCTGAGTATCCTCAGTCACCAGGGCCACACATACTGCTGGAAAGCTCCAAGACCCTTTTCAGTTGAAAGCCAAACCTCACTCACCTCCCTTATCTCTCCCCTCCACAGACGGAGCCCTAGGGACTCCAGGAGCAGATGGACTCCTCTGCAGACAGGAGGCCTGACTGCCACAGCTTTCCCTCAAGCCCACTGGCTGCTGCACGAGAGGCTTGCTCCTGCCAGACCCAGCCACTAGCCCTGTGGTGACACAGGCCCCTGACCACTGCAGAGCTGGGTTCTAAATGTGTGTGCATATGTGCAAGCATGCGTGTGTGTGTGTGCGTGTGTGTGTGCGTGTGTGTGTGCGCATGCACATAGAGCTGTAGGGAAGAAGACAAGACTGACCTTGGTGTGTTCCCGCCCCTGAGATGGGGGATACCCACTCAGCAGCAAATGCTTGCAGGGCAGGTGAGAGGTTCAAGGTAGGGAGAGAGCCTAGGGCAAGAAATGCAACAGATTCCCAAGAGGGAAGCTCATGATATGAGTCTGATGAGCTATCCAAGCCATCCCTTCCCTCACAGACAATGGAGCAGGACAGGGGCCGCTAATAACTAAGAAGCAGGAGCGGGTCCTGTTCCCCAGGAAGAGGAGGCCCTGTCAAAGGTGCTAGGGGCAGAAGGCTGGCAGCTTCCATATTTACTCTAAAGCCAGTAGGTGGGGCCCAGCCCATATCCCAGTCCCCACAGCAGGTTCCCATCCAACCTCATGCTCCTATCTGAAGGGCTCCTCCCCACCCTGGTAGAGCAGGAAGGATTCTGTCTAAAGCAAAGCCCTCTAGCTTAGGTTCCTTTTTTTTCCCCCGGTACCAGCGATTGAACTTGGGACCCTGTGCTTGCCAGGCAGGTACTTATACTACTGAGCTATATCCCAGCCCCTTCCTTCAGGTTTAGGAAAGCTGACTGGTGACACCAGTCCCCGTGCCACCTCTGTGACGGTCCCTTTCCAGGTCAATGTTCATCACTGTGACTAGTTATCCAGCTCCACTGTGGGTACTGTGCATGACCTCACTTAATTCCTAATACAATCCTTCCTATTAGGAGCCCCACTTCACACATGAGGAAACAGGCCTGTGAAGTTCAGGAGTTTGCGAGGGAGCGGAAGTCAGAAGGCCAGCTTGAGTTGGATTCCAGCAAAGTCCCTATGCACCCTCTCTTTCAGGTCACAATCTGACTTACAGAACAGAAAAAGGAATCAGTAGAGGAGTTGACAGATATTTTAGACCAAAGTCCAGAATAGGGTAACCCTACAAAAAGAGTTTGGGTAGGGCAGGTGTTGGTCACAGGCTTTGCTGTGGGGCCTGTCGCCCTGGGCATGGGAAGACCTGAAGACGTCTGGTATGTGGCAGAAATGAATCCAGCCCCAAAGGCAGCCCTGTCTCCTCCAGACCTTATGTCTCCATGAGACAGGAGGGTCCCAGACTGGAGCCCATTGGCACCTCAGATCTGGCCCCTCTCTCCTGCCACTTGTGATGAAGCCTGACTCTGCCTGGCACAGGACAAAGGAGAGCCTTGGTCTCAGGGCACCACGCCCTTCTTCATTCCCCTAAGGACTGAGGGATCCACAGTGGGCTGGGACCTGCCCATGTCGGGGCAAGACTTGGGGACAGGGGCTTGGGGACAGGCAGAAGTGGGTTGGATCCCATCTTTACCCTGCTTTGGGAAAACTGGTCTCTGTTTCCTGGCCTGTCAAACGGGAATAATGGTACCTGCTTCATCAAGTGGCTGTGACACATCCAATAAACGGCAGCTACTAAGGCATTCAGAAATCTGACTAACTAAAGTCTATTCTGGCTCTGAAAACCCCCCATCTGTTTGGAAGCAGATCCTCCTGGTGTGAGTGGTAGACGCCTTCCATTCTCCTGGCAGGTGTGGGCAGCTGGTGGGGACAGTCCTAGGAACCTTACCGCTAGGGCCTGGCCATGCCAGGGTGCAAGGTGGGGCTGAAGTCAGCCCTCTAGGTCATGAGCTGCCTAGAAAGGGGCTGGCACAGGAGCTCTGCTGTGGCAAACTGACCCTCTCTCTAGGGACCCCAGCTCTGGCCTTCCTTCTCCTGACCTTAGGTGGCATTTTCCCAGGCCCTGCCCATGCTAACGTGTGGGATCTCTGGGCACCTGCCAATCAGCTAGATGGCCAGACCACCTGGACAATTCTATACCTTCGGGCCACATCCTTAATGTCCTTCGTGCCTGGGCCCAGTGGGAAAGTCTCCCTGGGTGCTGAAAGTAGGGGCCAGCCAGTGGCACTTTGAGTCACAGGCCTCGAGGCACTACTAGAGAAGGCTGTGGAGGGCTGGACTAGGAGTACCATCGGGGAGACAGCAGCAGTCAAGGCCCAGGAGATCTGGGGACCTGACCCTCCTCCGCAGCCTCAACTCTCATGGCCATTGGCAGAAAGGGTTGAGTGGTAATTAAGAGACTACTGGTGTCTAGCACAGTGTTGACCTCTCAGTACAGAAAACCAGTCATTGCCTCTGCGCACAACTCCCACCACAGCCCCGAGATGCTCCTGGAAACCTGGCTCCCCAACAGGGTGTAAACAGAGGCCTCCAGCGCATACCCATTCTGCTTCCAAATTCCCCCAAGTAAAGCAAGTCTAGGAGCTTTCTATTTCCCACCGCTGCTTTAACCCCTTCTGTCCTGATGATTGGGGGTTATGGGACGCGGTCTCTGGGTCCCTGGATTTCCCAGAGGCAGAGATAAGAGGAGCATTCCCTAGTGTCAGACACCGCGGTGTCAGACACTGCTCTGACACCGCGGCACCCCGGCACTGGGACCTCACGTGTCCTTCCATGTTCTTCCCAGGGCTCCGTCCAGCCCCGACCACCCCGCCCCCAGCCTGCCGATCTGGAAAGTTCACCAGAGCCTAGAAAGCCCTTCAAGGCAGCGATCGACTGGGCCCACGCGCTTGGGTCCCCTCGTCACCCGGGACTCCTGACCCTTGCCCTTCCCTGAAGCAAGCAAGGGCGCTTAGGAAGCACCTGGTTCGCAACTGAGAGGAAAACTTTGCTTTGTAGGGTTCGGACAGGAACCCAGGGGCCAAAGAGAATCCCAGATGGTCTATCCCCGCGGGGCGCGGGTGAGCGAAGGCGAAACAGCCCTCCCTCTAGGGCACCTGAAACTTGGGAGTGGCCTTTCCAGGGCTTCCCCCGCCCCCAACACACGTACGCCTCGGATTCCCCTCGCAGCTCCCACCTCTCGCTCCAATGCAAAGCAGCCCGGCGCCTTTAAGGACCGCCGGCTTACCTTTGCTCTGCGCCCGGGCGCCGCGGTGCCCCTCGCTCCGACCTCCTCTCGGCGCCGCCCGCCGCGCCGCACCCCGCGGGACTTACTGCGCGCGTCCTGGGTCACGGCGCGCCGGCTCCCGCCAGTCACAGCCCGGCGCCCGGGGGCTGCGCGCAGTGCCCTGAGCCCTGCGCCCGGCGCCCTGAGCCCCGCTGGGGTCCCTGTTGGGCTTTGGGCCGCTTCCTCCACTCCGGGAAGGTGAGCGGCTCCGGAGAGAAGCTGCAACCTGAGCTGGAGGAGGAGGAGGAGGAGGAGGAGGAGGAGGAGGAGGAGAAGGAAAGGGGAGGGGAAGGGAGAGGGGGAGAAAGTGAGGAGGTGGAGGAGGTGGGGGCTAGGAGGAGGAGGTGGAAAGGAAAAGCCCGGCCCTCGCCGGAGTTTTTCACGTGTACAAATTGACTCCTCCCCCTCCCTCCCTGCCCACAGCAGCTGCCAATCGGCGGGGCTCCCTCTGTCCGGGTGCCCACCCCTTTCTCCCACTCTGGGATACTGGGTCCAAGAGCCTCTTCCGGTTTCCTTTCTAAGGCTGTGGTGGGGGTGGGGGCTGGCCTTGAGACCTTGACTGAGGGACGAGGTTCCTGGGCCTGATCACCCCAGACTGGCAGTAGGGCACCAGGGTTGGGTCGCAGGGCACCCATCTCTTAAGTGTCCAGTCCTCCACCTGGCACCTTGTACTCTAGGTTCTGTTTTTCTGGAAAGCAGTGGCTCAGGGGCTGTCCTTCTACCTGTCAGGAGGGACTTGCTGCTTAACCTTCCAAGCTTCTGAGAGCTTCTGACCTCCCCGGCCTGAATGAGCCCTAATCAGCATGTCCACCTCCCACCCTGAGAGGAGTGTTTTCTAAGGAGCAAATCCACAAGCCACTTGGAGGCATCCAAGAAGCTGTGCAGAGCTGGAGACAGTAGGGCACCCCTGTGATTCCAAGGCTCTGAGAGCTGAGGCAGGAAATTTGTAAAGTTGGGTCCAGCTTAGGTGATTTAGCAATTTAGTAAGATCTTTTCTCAAAATAGTTATAAAAGGACCACCATTGTACCTCAGCACGAGGGCCCTGGGTCCAATCTCCAATGCTGAAGGAGGAGGAAAAGAAGGGGAAGGAGGAGGAAAAGTAGCTGCTTTACAGAATAGTGAGTGCTGGTCGGCTCCCATTTTACAGAAGGGAAAACTGAGATCCAGAAAACTGATCCAAAGTTTCACAAGGAGTTAGAGTCATGATTAGAACCCAGGTCAGTGGCCATTCTGCCCACACCACCTGACTTTAGGGGTCAAAAACCAACAAAAAGTTGAGTTTTCATGAAGAATTGTACCACTTTTTTTTTTTTTTGGTAGAACGGGGGATTGAACTCAGGCCCTTGTGCTTGCCAGGGAAGCACTTATTCTACTGAGCCATTTCCCCGGCCGAGTTTTCATGAAGAATGGCATCCCAGTGTGGGCCCCTTCCAGCCTGCTTCCTCCCGGAACTTGCGTCCTTTGTCCTGTGCTGGCAGGCAGGCCACAGTATGCTTCCGCCCCAACCCTGTCCATGGCGAGAAAGATGCTGAGAGCAGCATCGTTCCCTCCCAGGAGACCCTGGCCAACCTGAGATCTGCCCTCAGCTGGAGATAGGTGAAAGACGGGAGACCTGGGACCCATGCATGAGACTGACCTGTGAGTCACTGGCAGGAGTGCCCCACAGAGGATTCCCTATTTCTTTTCTTTTTTTTTCTTTCTTTTTTTTTTTTTTTTTTTGGTGGAACTGGGGATTGAACTCAGGCCCTTGCACTTGCCAGGCAAGTGCTTATTCCACTGAGCCATCTCCCCGGCCCTACTCCCCATTTCTTGCTGAGAGCATGCAGATTTCCTGGCTATGTATAGTTTATAAAGTGAGGCTGCAGAGTTTTAAAGGGCTGTAAAGTGGCTGGATCCTGGGTCTCCACACTGTGGGGACCACTCCATAACCCCTGAGTGTGGTATTCCCAGGATTAGGAGGTCATGTGTTGGAGGGGGCAGGTGACGAGGGAGGCAGGTTTGTGGCTAAGAAACTGTTTACTACAGGATTAGAGAAAATTGGACCAAAGGGCAGAGTTGCAAGGAGCCAGGAGATGAGGTCAAGAGGTCTCTACAAACATTTTCTGAACGTCTCTCACATGCCAAGGTCTAGGCCTTTGGCATATGAGAACAAAAGATTAATAAAATCCAATCCCCACTCTCCAGGAGCTTATGGTTTAGGGGAAGGGAAGTAAACAAGATGCTTATGTTAGCTTGGTGCTACTATAACAAATAATCAACTTGTAAAGAAAAGAAGTTAATAAGGCATGGTGGCACATGGCTGAAATCCCAGTGCCAATCTCCCTATGGGAGGCTGAAATAGGAGGACTGCAAGTTTGAGCTCAGCCTGTGCAACTTAGTGACTTAGCAAGACTGTTTCAAAATTAAAAGTGAATAAAGGCTGCAGGTATAACTCAGAGTAAAGACCCTGGATTCAATCACCAGTAGGCCAAGAGAGAAAAGGATGGGAGGGGAGTGTGTTTTGGCTCACGGTTCTGGAGGCTATAGTTCGTGATTAACTGGTGCCCTTGCTTTTGGGCTTTAGTGGCTCAGTGTACATCATAGCAGGGGTCATGAGGCAACTAAAAGATGTTTACCTTATGTCTAGGAAGCAAGAGGGAAAGGCCTGGGGTTCCATGCTCCCCCTCAAGGTTACACCCCAATGTCTTGGAGACTTCTCACCAGTTCTCATTACAGTTTCCCTCATCTCCTAATGATGCCTCAGGATGGGACCAAGCCTTTAACAAACCTATGAAGGACATCCCAGGTCCAACAGTAGCAATGTTGGTGGATGGGTTTGGTGCTCTGTCTGCCCTGGGAAAGCTGCTCTGGGAGGACCAGAGAGGGGAGGAGGGTCTTTCTGCTTTCCCAGAAGGGCTGACACCTGCACAAAGTACAGGGCTGAGAGGCTATGGGTGCCCATTCGAGGAGGCCAGAGCCTTGAGCCTGGGGTGGGGCTGCTGATGTGGAGGGAGGTCGAGATCCTTCCACGTGCACAGTGGCTTATGGGCCAGGGATGTCTCCTGAGAACTGGGCCAACATGGTGCATTCCTGAAGGAGGAGGTGTCACCAGTCTGTAGGTCAGGAAGCTCTTCATTAGCTTAGTGGAGAATAGATAGGCGAGGCATCTGGAGAGGCAAACCCCAACTTTTAGGACAGATTAGTGAGAAATCATGCAGGCTAGCCTTGAAAGGCAGTAGGGTGGAGAGGGAGCTCATTCAAATAGAAGTTAGGACAGAGGCTCAGAGACTTCATACCTACATGATCCCAGGAGATAAGGATGGAAGAGCATCCAGCTTGGGAAAACCATGCTGAGAGGGGGGCCTTGGAACTTTGTAGGTGTCCCTCGGCTCATTGCTCTGTGATCTTGGGAAGCAACTTAATCTTCCTGAGCCTAGTTTTATAACCTGTAGGACAAAGAGCCTAAAAATCGGTGTGGTTTAGAAGGTATACTAAAGGGCTTGGCTCAAACAGTAACATAATAAATTATAGATACAATCACCATCATTCGTTCAGTGGACAAACACTGATGGAGGTCCTACAGTGTGCTGAGGATGGTACCAGATCCTTGAGCCATAGGGATGCCTCCATCCCTATGTACTCATTGTCCCCTGGGGGACAGAGGAACTGTCCCATATTGAGGCATTGTTGGCCAGCATTTGAGGAGAAGGAAGGCCTTCCTGCACTCCGCCCCATCCTGGGGAGGCCCAGAAACAACTTCCCAGAGGACAGGTGGCAGCCACCTGCTCAGAAACCCTCACATCAACCCCCGTCCCCGGTGTGGAATTGCTCATGGGGATCTCAGAAACAATCAGCTCGGAATCTTGTCAGGGTCAGGGAAGCAGGTGGATAGGTGTCTGGGTGGAGTCCCAGAAAGGGCGCTCACAGAGGCAGGGAGGAGGGGGACCAGGTGAGACTGAGGGCACTGCATGGGCAGAGCTTGCAGCGAGAGGGAGCCTGCATGCACCTGCACACCTTGGACACTGATGGGCTGTGAGCATGTGCTTTGTGCCACCCTCCTGCTCCGCTCCCTGCCAGTGCCCTTGTAAGTCTTCCTTCCAGATCTCCCGTGTCCTCAGCTTGCTCCCATGCTAGGGTCCTTAGGGCCATCTCAGCAGGCCCAGCTCTCCCATCGATGGAGACTGGGGCTTTAAGGCATAGGGCCTAAGCGACCTTGGGCAGTTCCATCTCGGCTTGCTTCATGCCTGTAACCCAGGGATGGTAACAGTCCCCCTCTCCTGGGGCTGCCTTGAGGTTTCATGAGATGTAAACTTGGCACCCAATCAATGCTCTCTGCTCCTTCTCTTTGGATGTTAACTCTCTCCTTCCAGAGGGTCAGACAAGAGACTCCTTGCTGGGGTTTCCACTGGCCCCGCCCCTGGGGTCCCTCCCCTGGGGTCCCTGCAGCCCCCTTTCTTCCCTCTGTTGGCCATGCTCTCACGGTGTTGTAATGAGACCCTGGCAGGACTGTATGGCATGACAGCAGGGACCCCCACAGCAGCCGGCCCCCTCTCGCTCTGTTCCTTTATCTCCTGCTTGCTGTGATGACATGCCACTGCGATGCAGACAGGACAGGCTTCCCTGGGTGCCTGAAGGCTGAGTGGGGAAGCTGGAAACCGCTCTCCCTCTCAGACTGTGTGGGCAGTGCACTTGAACAGCCAGCTTCTGGAAACCCAAATTCAAGCCTGCCCCACTTTCCCCATGAGTTGCAGCATCCACGCGGGAAGACCTGGGCCAGCAGACACCGCCTCCCCCACTGCACACAGCTGCAGTCTTTCTGACCTTTGGCCCTCCCCACACCTGGGTGGGCACAGGACCTGATTCTGCGCCAAAGATGTAGGAGTCATTTGCTTGTCTGGGCCTCAGTTTTCCTCTTCAGCCAGATGGGAAGAGCATGAGTGTCCACCCACCTCCTAGGATGTGAGAATTAGATGTTACTGTGGTTATGCCAGTGCTTTGTAAACTACAAAGCCGTTGCATGGGTGTGAGGTCAGTAGTGTTTGGCCCAGGGTCCTTCTCGGGGTTCCAGAAGTCAAGTGAAGACATGCTAAGTGGGAAACCAAGTAAGAACAGAGGAGCTCACCAAAGAGCATGTGTGTCCTTGGCAGGAGAGACTAGAGGATGGACCGACCCACTGCAGCCCCTTGGCTCAAGGGCTGTGAGTCAGCGGGCAGAACTTAGCTGGACAGGCCAGTTCTTACTCTCCTGGCTAACCCCAGGCCATTGTTTGCTAGTGATTTATGCAGACTGGATGTAATTGGGAAAAAATAGCATTTATTTGTTTCCCATG